GCTCACTCACTGCTAGTTTCCCTATGCTGGTCTTGTTTGCCCTTCATGTCTCTCCTATTGATAACATCAGTGATTCCGTCAGCAGCTATGCATCCTTGGGCTGCCCTGATACTCTTCCGCCTGTTCGGGGATTTGAAGTTTGTTGAGCATCTTGTTCTCATCAGGACATTTCCACCTTTTTATTGCCGCTTTTCTGACCACTTCCCAACAAAACTGGAGTAAGATTTCCCTCAGAGGTCACTGTCAGTGAGTGGGATCTAAACAGACTGTTGACTCAACAGATGAAGTAAATGGGAAGGCTTTGTTCACGCTCTAAGCTTTGCTAAGTCTTCTTCCTGCAAATATCCTGAAGCCTTATTCATCAAGAAGCTGATTTGGAGCTGGACAGTGGTGAAAAACCAACCACATTGATACACGTTCCAACCTCAGAGAAGAATTTGGCATTAGATGTGATCATAAATAAGCAGCAGCTGGGGACAAATCAGGCTGTGGGGTGACCTGACACTCACAATCTGATTGGCATTACATTTTAAATTTATTATTATGTAAATCTCAGCATATGAAGAAAAATGAGCGCCCCCCCGAAATGCAACTATTTTTGATCATCACAGAGTATTATTTAAAAAGAAAAGCACCTTCTCTCTGGTTGTCACTTATGAAGAATTGGATCTCAAAAAAAAATAAATAAATGAGCAGCTGACTAGGTTAATAAAGTCTGTGTTATCTGGTGAGTGGTTAATTCTATGAAGGGAAAATAAAAATATCATTTAATATGCCTTGTGAATTCAGTAGGTGCACAGGCCTTTGTGACTGTTCTTTCCCTCCATCATGAATTTCCATGGAGTCCATTTTGAAATAGACATTTCTGCTATAAAGTCTGATAAATCATATTCCAGCTCTACAGAGAACAAATGGAATGTTACATTTTCTGGTGTAGACTTTTGAAGTATGCAGGGGATTAAATTCTAAATTTCTCAGCTGCTAAAGGTCCCTTCAGACTTCCCCCAAATGAGGAACAAAGATGGGGCGTACTTTGCCTAAAGTAGGTCATCAGATCTACTTGGGCACAGTGGCATCCTCTTGAGCTGGTAAGGGTAAGTTGCCCCAAGTAACGCAAGGGGTTGCAGCTGCTTAGAATATTGGAGAAAGATGTCTGCAGTCTTTGTCAAGCATTTCACATGTCCTGATGGGTGCTCACCCTCTAGCTAATATCCATTGAGAATCCAACAGTTAGGAGCTGGTAAGTTGGGTCTGTTGGTAAAATGCTCGCTCCAAGCATCCACACCTGAGTTTGGTCCCCAGAAGCCATGTAGAAAGCAAGGTGGCACAGCATGAACCTCATACAGTACTGGGGAGACACTTCAGAGATGGGAGTCCTCTGGGGCTCGTGGCTAGCAAGCCCAGCTGAATTAGTGAGTTTCACATTCAGTGAGAGACCTTGTCTCAGAAGACTGTGGGGAGTGATTAGGTAAGATGTCCTGTGTGACCTCTGGCTTCTGACCGCATGTGCACACAAAAGAATTTAACAACTGACATTTACAACCTAATAATACCTTCCACTTTTAAAGAGTTCCTTGTTGCCCAGCGGTGCTCAGAGTTCTCTGTGCACCTGACCTTAGAGGAATGGTCTTTTTTACATTTTGTGCATCATGAAACATCTGTTGAACCAAGCCTTTCACACCATCGACTGAGAAGTACTCACTTTTGTTTTCTCAAGTCTAATTGGCGGTGGTTTTATCTTGAAGTTGTTCTGATGGCTTCTGCTGTACCATTGTCGGTGAAACTGATTTGAGTGTGGATGGTCTCATCATGGTGACTAGCACATGGCAACTTCAGGATAATTGCTGTATGATGTTTAACATAACCCCCCATCATGGTGTACGGGGAAGCCTTCTGATCAAATGACCTGAAGATTCTGACAACCAGTGGCCCAGCCTTTGCTCTTCCTGTGGCTGGAATGCTCATACAGTAAGTCTCCCGCATCCATGGGGACCCTATTTGGATGGTGTCAGCTCAGACAGGCAAGGCCAGAACTACCCCTCTTTAAGAACAGTAGACCTTCCTTCTCTGGGCTCCTCAGTTGCCTCATTTGACACATGGTATTTCATTGTCCCCCCTCCTTGCCAGCTCTGGTGACTCTTTGGAGCCTATTCTGCCTGGTCGATTTCATTTCCTTTCTCAGAACCTTTCCTAGTCTACACTGGCTACATTATTAATGTGTGTTGTGTCCTGTGTGTTGGTGGCTCAGTTCACTTCTCCATATCACTTGCGTCTCCTGTGGATGTACATGCATGCTTGCTACATGAAGGGGTGTGTGTGTGTGTGTGTGTGTGTGTGTGTGTGAGAGAGAGAGAGAGAGAGAGAGAGAGGGAGAGAGAGAGAGAGAGAGAGAGAGAGAGAGAGAACCTAAGCCATGGTCTTCACCTTGGCCATGGCATTGCAGAGGTGACTGCTAGATACACATGTTTGTATCAGGACCTGTTGTCCTTGCCTTGTAGAGCTTGAGCTCTGCCTTCTCGAGTGAAGTCTCAGTACGCTCTGGGTCAGCACTATGAGTCACTTTCATGCCAAGCGAGGGTAGCATTGCCTTAGACAGAGGGAGAAAGAACCTGTTCACCATAACATTACAGAGTGGGGCTGGAGGTCTGAGCTATGAAAAGAGTAACCCTGGCCCCTGGGTTACTGGGAGGTACCTGCTTTCTCCACCCAGTAGCCAGCCCCCTTTTTGCTCATTATAGCCTTCCTTTGACAGCCCCAGGAGACAGACACGGATTCCAGGGGCACAGGCTTTTGCTGCTGTGACTTCATCCTATTTCGAAGTTTCCCTCAAAAGCCGTTGGTTTACGGTTTACTTTCCTCCTGTGTGCATTGTGTGTCTGTAGCTGTTGTGCCTTTGCCGGCCCCCATGCCTTTGCCCTGACATCCCCAGCCATGCAAGCTCAGCAGCTAAGAGAAGCAGAGAGCCTTGCTGGGTTTGGGAGTGACAGATGCACAGATCACATCTGGGGCTGCTTCAGAGCAGCTGCTGGTTTGGATGGTGACAGAAAAAGAGGTGTTCTTACCTCTTAATGGGCGACCGGCCTCTTGGGTTTTATTTAGCCATCTCTTTAGGTCCATGCCCCTTTACACTTCAGATCCATCGCCTCATTTAGGCTGTTACTGTGACACATTGCAGGGTAGTGGACATAATGATTCCCCAGAAGAGTGAATTAAAACGTTTCTTCATGATTAGAAGGTTCAATGAGGTAAGGCTGTGGTGGTTAGTGGGGAGATAAGGGATGCTGAGGAGGCAGAGCTCGGGGGACTCTTGGGTGATTAGAAAATTAGAATTGAGCTGTGACCCAGGTCGTAGCATGGCTGTTCTGAGGTTTCTTTTCCCCCTTGAGAAGTTCTTGAGCCAATCACAACAGGAAGTAACAGGCCACAAGCCCAGCAGTGGTGATGATGGAAGGCCAGTCATCCTTAGAGGCTCTGGCTGCCCTTCAGCTTGGAGCCTGCTCAGAGGTCAAGCCCAGTTTGGGGCCAGCAGGGGTGTGTCACAACAGCTGTTCCTGAGGTCTGCCCAAAGTTCTGTTCTCTGTGTCTGATCTGGTTTTGACTTTCTCTCTGACTCCATGGCTACTGAACTTCTGGTCCCTAGAGAAGAGCTCCCAGAGAGCCAAGGGCTCTACCATCTGGCTCCCTGGGTAAATTATTGCGCCCATGCTGGTTTCTGCAGGAATCCCTTGAACACTGCTGCTGTCTGAAGGGCAGCTCCGAGTTTTTTGTCCGCCCCTTCATCTAAACTGAGGATCTCGAGTCTTACTCACTGTTTATCCCTGCTGCTCCAGTTTGCATCCTTGGCTTACAAGACCCGGTACCAGAAGGCTGGTGTCCTACTCATTTCTCAGTGCCTTATACCTCCCCGTTCCCAAATACTGTCAACCATGTTGGAGTACGACATAGCTTTCATTTTTAGAAAAATCCCAACAAGACAACAAAAATTCCACGTTGGGTTTTCACCATCTCCCAGGGCGCACATCTTAGCGTGGTACCCAGGGCGGCCAACCATAGTTATCACTTGGGCCTGCAGCTTTCTGTCTGCACTCTGCACACAGAGGGAGATGATTGCTTTCCACAGGTAGCCCATGCTTTCTTGTTTACTTGCCTGCTTCTTCCATCTAGAAAGATCTGCTCACACGTCCCCACCAATCAAAACATGTGTTTCATCAAGCCCCATCTCAGGTATGCATCAATGCTGTCTCTCACCCTGGCTACATGCAGGGTGTATGCAACTTTTCTTCCTTCAAAGTACATTCAGGGGAACGTTCTTAGGCTGTTGGGGTGCAACCTTTGCTCTTCTGATACTTAACATTTCAAGTTTAGGTTGTGCACCTGTGAAGTTTTCTGTTGATAGAAACTGCTAGATACAGACCCAGAAGTGTGAGCCAGGAAGAAGCTGGGCCATTCAGGATGTAAGGGAGTCAAGCATTTCCTTCACGTGTTTGCTGCGTTTCTTGTATGATTTAAGGTGTAATACTATGCAGAGGGCATGGGCACAAAGAGCCCTGTGACAAGCACACCCAGTGGCTTCAGGAACTGAGGAGCATAAGGTAGAAAAAGAAATTGCCATAATTACATTGTGGGCCGTGACCCCTGTGACGGTAGCCTGACCCCTTTGGAGGTCGTATATCAGATATTTATTTACATTGTGATTCAGGACAGTAACAAAATTACAGTTATGGTGCATCGGTGAAAACAATCTTACTGTTGGGGTCACCACAACATGAGGAACCGTGTTCAAGTTACAGACTAGGAAGGTGGAGAACCCCTGCCGTAAAGCAAAGGGAGCTGGTGAGCCTGGCAGGTTGGTGGTGAAAGGATGGAGGCGGGAAGGGAGCCGAGGAATCGAGAAAGGTCTCCTATGTTTGGAAATGTCTGGTTGACAGAGATACCGTGCCTGAGGGAGAGGGAGGCACGCTCAGAGTGAAGGAAAGTTTCTGCCTCCTTCTCACTAAAGGATGGCTTTGTTCCTGCTCAGATGGAGATGCCCTGAAAGACAGAAGAATCCTTTGATTCTTCTGAGAGAGAAGTGGATAGCCACCTCCACCCATCCTCACCCCTGTCCCCACCTCCACCCCTACCTCCGCCTGGGCCCCACCCCTATCCCTCCCTATCCTGCCCCTACTCCCTTATCTCCCCCACCCCTGTGGCTGCCGCTAGTTGAAGTCGTTCATTGTTCTTCTTTCTTCCCCGTTTTACAGAGGAAGTCTGTGCTTGTGGTGAGCTTCATAGCCCTGTGCCTCTTGCTGCTAGCCCTGCGCCTCATCAATGACATGAATTTCCCTTTGCTACTGAACTGCTTTGGACCACCTGAGACAAAATGGACCCCATTGTCCTACACATTCAGGCAGCCTCTGCGAACTCACTACGGGTACATAAACGTGAGGACCCAAGAGGTAAGACCTGAGAGGGTGACCTGGGAGAGTATCCATGGCAACTGCTTCCCAGTAGGAGCAAGATGGCTTCCCAGTCATTGCATTTACCCTTTCTGTCCCACTGAGATTCTTTGGGTCCCGGACAACATTTTCTGTTTTCCTATTCTTAGCTACTTCCTGACACGTGTCTAAAATCTTTCACCCCCTCCCACATCAAACCATGAAAGCACTGGTTTCCTACGGAGTCGTGGAAGCAATTACCTGTTTTCCTGGTGGCGTGAAGCTTAACATACATGTCTTCCGTTTTAGATGCTCTGATCAGTGGCCACCAGCTGGAGAACTGACTGGCTTTATTTCCTGTAGGTTACATGTTGGGGACAGCTCTTTATAGAGTTTGAGAAAGCATTGGTCCCTTTATAACTCTGTCATCCTTAGACCTAGAGCTAAGAATAAAAAAGCTAAGCTGAATTTTAACATTTGCAGTGGCTGCAGAGATAATGGTATTTAGCATCTTTCCACATTTAAAGGGGTTAAAACCATTTAAATCCTGCAATCACTGAACTTTTAAATATTCGTAGCCAATAGGTGTCCCAGATGAGGGTGGCTGAATATTGACAGCTAGGAAGAGTATACTAGGCTAGAAGGGTATGTGTGTGTGTGTGCGTGCACGCGTCTAAGTCAGGGGAAAATTTTGGATACTTTTAGGATCAGATCCTCAATTACTGTGTGCACTTTTCATTTTGACTGTGAGGTGAAGTCTCTCTCTGATCTAGAGCTCACGACTTAAGGGAGGCTGACTGACCAGGGGTCCAGGATCCACCTGTTTCTGCCTCCTCAGTGCTGGGATCACAAGCACATGCCACCAAACAAACTGATTTGATTTTTATTTATTTCTATTTGAGGAGTCATGCATGTATGTGTTTTGGTCATACCACTCCAACTTTACACACTCCTTTTGAAAACCCATTGAATACTATTGGCTTAGTCATATGTGTGCCAAGGCCTCTGGGAGTTCTTATGTACAATGGCCCTGTTGTGTGTGGAGAGAGCCTTCACAGCAGTCCAGGACTCTAACTTAGGTGCTCATGCTCACAGGGAAAGTACTTACTGACTGAGCCAAACCCTCAGACTTACCTTTAGAGGCTGGTCTCATAAACTACAGAAAGGGATAAAACCCTCAAAACTAGCGTGAAGCAGGCAAAGGTAGTGAAACTATTTCCACAGTCATTTCTATGCTATGGGGGAGGCACATTGGTATGGATACGAAGTCCAATCCTGTTTGAAGAATGTCTGTGGCAAAGACCAAGTCCATCAAGATGTCCCATCATGGAGAATTTTGGGAACAAGACTCCGTTGGAGGGCTCTCTTGAAAACACCCTGGAGAGGGGTGCCAGGCAGCTCTTTCGGGGTCAGTGGCATGCCTGAGCCTGGGGCTTTCTGTTCAGTCACTCTCTAAACATTGTTTTTGTATCTCCTGGATTTATAGACTGTTTATTAGACCTTTATAGTTGAGGGGAGGCACCATTAATAATGTATAAATTCCCCAGAGTCTTGCTTGATGTGGATCCTCTAATTGGTTTTAAATTAACTTTTGAAAGTCTCTTGCTTGGACTTGTCGAGTGTCCTGATAAATTGATTACCTGTATAAAAATGTGCCTTTTAGAGAGGAGCTCGTCTCACTCTAGTCTCGTGTTACTTTTATATCTGGCAGTCACTTAATATTCAATAACTCTGCAGTATGGGCTAATCATGTCAAAAGTGCCTGTCACAGGCTGAAAATGCAACACATGGATAAAGTATCTCATGAATTATGCTTGTGAGAAATATACCACTGGGTAGTAAAGCCCTTGGATTTGTCTAAATATTTGGGAATCGGGTTTTGGAGTAGGTCCAGCCACTCCCTCCTATCGGCATAAACTCAGCGCTGCCTCTGCTCCCATGATGGACGGTACCCTCTCAAACCATGAGCCCAAATAAACCCACCCTCTCTTAAACTTCATATTTTCAGGTATTTGGTCATAGCTACGAGAATAGTAACTAAGACAGTCCTCCAGGTAAAATTATAATAAGTTTATTATGCCTTGCTTAGGTTAACCTGTGCGTTGATGTGACTGTTGCTCATGTCTTTTTATGAGGGACAACAAAGGCAGCTGCTTCCCTTTCTGTACCCTAGGGGTCGTCCTGACTTGAGGGTCTCAGAACATTGATCCAACTACCCTGTCACTCAGTTCTGTGACTTTGGTTTCGAAGGTCTTCTCATGCTCTCTCGTCCTTAGGGAAAGACTGCAGAGGATATTATTTAGAAGGAACCAGGGCACACCCTTGAGAGGGTGAGGGGATCCCAGAAGGGAGGGTTACTGTCACAGAGTTCAGGTGAGTGGGAGGCAGGTGGGAGGCCTACCTTCCTGTCTCCTGCTTAGCCTGGAGCCTTGCTTCTTGCTCTCTGGAGAGTTTATTGAAGGAGGTAACACCTCCCTCCCTCCCAGCATGACCACAGGAAGTGGAATGGAATGCCATGGTGCCCTCCCACCTCTCCCCCGAGTTCCTATTGTTGAGGGAGAGGGCATCTGAGACATGAAACCGGTGCCACTGGCTGGGTGAGGGCTGAATTCTCCACGTCTCTGCGGTCACTGAACCTGGAGTCCCCACCTACACGATGACTGAGCTGACGGCTGCCCCTCTCACAGCACCAAGCTGCCTTAGGAACTGGGAGGACTTGGCAGCACACGCTGTGTCTCAGAGTGGACCAGGCACTTCTCAGGCTTCCCTTACGATCTCTTCATTAGCCATGCTGCAATCCATTAAATATGGTTTGAGTTTTTAGAGACAGAAGGGTTTATTTCAGCTTAAACTTCCAGATTATAATCCATTATGGAGACACGACAGGGACTCAAGCAAGAATTGAGGCAGAAACCATTGAGGGACACAGAGGACTGGCTTGCTTTCCAACTTGCTCAGCCAGCCAAATTCTGCCCTGCCTAGGATGGGTGCTGCCCACGCTCTTAGTTGTCAATCAGGAATCTTCTACAGAGATAGCCACAGGCCAATTGATCTGGGCCATTCTTGGATTAGGTTCCCTCCTCTTAGGTAGTTCTGTCAGTCGACAAAAAAAAAACAACCAGTGTGATCCACTTTTTGTCAGCTTGACACACACTGTTAAGTCATAACCTTTGCTTCCTCATTTGTTCCCAAGATCTCATGGTAATATCATAATATAAAGTACAACGGAACTTTAAATGCCCCATACTATTTTTAAAATTCCAACACATAAACATTTTTATGAAGAGTAAACACCAAGTACCATTCCGTGGTATTAAGGCAGAGTAACCGTATTATCAACTCACATTGAACATGATTTTAAAAAATCACGTCATCCACGGTTGCTTAAAAAGACACACATTTACACTTGGCATTTATCCTGTGAATGCTGTTTTCTAAGCATTGGCTTTAAATTATTAGTTGTAATGAAAGAGATCTAGACCTTGCATGGTTCGGTTCAGGGCATCATTGTTCCTCTGGCTGCCTCACAGTAAATGAAGGGTAAAGAGAAATTCACTCTGGGCTGGCTTCCTATCTTAGTTTTCTAGCCTGGGCTCACTCATTGTTGTGATGTGACATGGTATGAAGACATTGCCTAGGGCAAGCGACCAGTAGATCATTTGTGTCGGGTACTGGAGAATTGGGTGCTGATGAGCAAGAGGAGGCTGCAGCTAGACATTTCTGGTGACCAGTTTCATGGCAGCCATGTCTCTGATCCGATAAGAGAACTGGAAAGTGCTAGAACTGAGAGGAAAACTGGTGTGTGGAAAAAGAGTGCCCTTCTTTTCCCATGATGCTTCCAGGCATCCAGAACATAGCAGTCAAGGATAGAACTAATTTTTGTTTTTGTTTTTTCAGGATTCTAACAATTCTGCTAGACTGAAGTGCATCTCTTTTAAAAACTGAGAATCTTAGAAAGCCTCGAGTAGACAAAATAGGAATACTTTGCATCAGTTCCTGTGACAGGCAGGCCACGCTGGTCTAATTATAGATGCACATAACATATTGATGTTGCAATCGAATTTCCTAAATTGTGGTTATTGTAACAATTAAGGAACAAAGCTGACTTTCTTGGCAATAAAAGAACAGGCTCACCACATTCAAATAAATGTGCACTTGTAAGTAAAGCTGGCATGAATGGGTTTTTTATGTTGGGGTATATAGGCTTTAGATTTTACAGAAGTATATGGAGAGCAATTATATGCAGATGAATGCTCCCAAAATTTTAAACTGATCAACTTAATTGTTAATTAAATTTTGGATATTCCCAATTGTGTAATTATAAAAAAGGGAAATTTCAACTCTTAAGTTGCCTTACAAAAAGAAATTAATGTATAATAAAGGTTACTTATTTGACATGTGCACATTGGATTTCTCATTTCATCAAACATGACATCATTTTTCTAAGGACTTAGGGCATCTATCTGAGTGGAGGAGGGATGGTTTTATTTCTCAGGCAGGCTGTGAGATAGCAACTCTCAATCAAAAACCAAATATCAAGGCAATGTAAGACTAAATGCAAAGGAGGCAGTTGACATCACCAAGGGTTGAGACAATTCCAGGGTTATTTTGTGACATACGAGATTGTCAACTTGACAAAATCTAGACTCACCAGTGAAGAGAGTCTCAGTGAGGAACTGTCAAGGCTTGTTGGTGGGTACCCATGCCTCCTGTTATCCTGTTAGGTTAATTCAGATGGGAAGAACCATCCTTTATGTGGGCTGCAACATTGCATTGGCTGGGCTCTGGAGTGGTAAAGGAAGAGCCAGCTGAACAGAGGAAGTATGCATTTTTTCCTTCTCCTCCTCCTCCTCCTCCTCCACTGTTGACTGGGACACGATGTGACCAGCTGTTTTAAGCTCTTACAGCCTTGACTCCTTTGCCACAATAAGCCCGTTTCCCCAAGTGATGGCGGTGTTCTTCTGTATATGTTTCTCTTACTGGTTGATGAATAAGACACTGATTGGCCAGTACAGGAAGGA